GTTTCAGTTTCAGAGGAAAAGTTTCACTTCTCAGTCGCTATGGCTTGGCGGTCAATTAGAACAACCAATTTCGAAAAGAAATACGGCAAGAATCTTCCGTCAACCTAACAGTGCAACGTTATGAGAAGTCATGACTAATCGAGGATCGAATTGCCCTACAAAGATACACTGTTAGAGCTATTTCTGCAAATTTCGTCGTCTGGATCTCCCATTTCACAGGCTTAGCATTAAAAAACTCTGCATCATATTGGAGTGACAAATATGTAGTCTTATGTAGAGCAGAAAAACCTCTTCTGAATGGTGTATAAAGGTTAGAAATAATGGGGTGTTACAATTAGCAGAAAATTTTCTTTTCGAATAAAAACGACACTAATTGTGGGACATCCCAATGGATAAGATAGCAGTTGACAATTCTCAGTCATACTCAGCCAATCATTGCCCGTCCTTCTTCGTTTTTGATTTGGTAAAAATATACTTTGAATGCGTACTGTATTGCAAATAAGTGGTGACGATGAAATTGTCGATCAAACCGGGAGCAGCCTTGCCGATATCGCTTATCCAGGTGGGCAGCTGAAAGAGTGTGTGTTGAGGGCCGTTTGCCGTCACAATTCCCATTACCTGTTCTATCAACTGATGAAGATCGTAGCCCATGCTGGAGCGCAAGCTGAGCACAAGGATGAACGATTGACGAGATGTGTCCAGATTGGACTGCACGCTTGGCATACATCCTCCTGCAAAAGACCAAATCTTCTTTTGTGGCTCGAAAAATAAAAGAGTACCTGATATTTAAGTATTTTCACCTCTGACAGCTAGTGTCAAAGTTCAAACATTGCTGAGAATAACTATCAAAATGTTGCTTTTTTCATCAGTGGTATCTCTTTTCCCGACGCCACACCACACTGCTCATACCAGCGAGTTTGGAATGATTTTTGTAGCAAGATCGACAAAAAAAAGCAAAAGATTGGAATAAAATTTGTTCCCTCGAATAATCTGCGAGAACAAAATAGGGACTCACTTGATTCACAATTCAGTGCATAAAAGCCTGGTGGACAGGTACACCTGCCCTTGTCAAGAATCCCGGAGTTCTGGCACCTGAATTATCTCGCAAAGGGCGCCTCTCCGTGGGTTGCTAAAATGTAGGATATTACAGGGATTCTTGGGGCATCATCCCACGGAACTCCCCAGCTTCAATTTAACTCCAAGATTCATGGTGCCAATGCCCTAGAATTGCGAAATGGCCTAGGTCGCCCAGGGTTGAATGATGTAACAATTAGGAGGGGGAGGCGTGATGAGGGGTCAGTTTATCGGGAAAAGATTCGGAGGAATTTTTTGGGGTCTTAAAGAGACCCTTATAGGACTCTGTTTTGTGCCAGTTCTTTGGCGTTACAATCTTGGAATGTTTGAAGGGGTGGTTAGTGGGTGGGTGGTGACCACACTATGTCGAGTTTCGGTGGAAAAAGGCGCGTGATTAGGTGGGAAGACAAGAAGTAGTTCGGGGGGCTTCCCCCATTTAATCGAAATGGAGTGTTGGAGGGATGCCGGGTATTGAGGATGTGATGGGCAACGTATGCGGGGATTATTAAGTTATGGCCTTGAGTCTGACTCAAACCGGTGTGGTTAAAGGCGAAAGGCCTAGCGCGGGCCCGACCACTCAAGAACAGGAGGCAGTGCTCGGAATGGATTGAATCTGTGTATCAGGTGATGAGTGGAAGAGGTCGAGAGGACGAGAGAGTTTTTGGGCGTACCTTAGCACGTCCCAAGCAACACGATTTTTTGGTGTCTCCAATTGGCCACAACAAAAGGAGTAAAGTAACCCTCAGGCGACGAGTTGTATATTCTCGTAAGTGGTCATATCTATGAAGCGAGCAATTTGGATCACGGTTCCATATTAGCCTGACTCGGCACGTGGGGGCAGAAATCCGGACAGTTCTTTTGGTCTTAAAACGTATGGGGCACACGCTTTTCTATCCGTGGTGGATTCGGTAGTGCCATTGACAAGGGCCTTGAAGACAAAGTGCGCCAGGGTTCATGGGGATATTGATCGTTGTGGTTGTGTGGTTATTTTCCTGGGTGCAATTTGTTGGTTTAAGTACTTAGTAATTGCTGTTAGTGTCTATACTTTTTCAGGTAAGTTGGATAGTGAGGTGCCTCAGAATGTTGCTTAGATATGACCGAATTGCACTTGACGCCAACTCTACTTTGATTTTGCACTTTCATATGCCGCATATTGTCTGGGCCTTACCCAACTCCGACGCATTACTCCACTGAATCTTGTCGGGGCTGCTCGGGTTGAATGTGGCAAAAAGTGGATTAGAACTACGGATGGTCTTTCCTTGGAGGAAGGGGGAGCCAGTGAGGGATGAAACATAGAGCCATGTTCACAAGTGACGGGCCGGCCGTTGCGCCAGGAAATGCCAAGAGATCCTAGAGCGGACAGGTTGTGTGAAAGTACCGGTCCGCACGTGGGCAGGGGCGTCAGTCGCGAGCGAAGTCCGCGGTGCAGAGCGGGGGACCCCAGATCTGGCTCCCTCTTAAAGCTTCGAGACACTCAAAATTGTCAGAATTAAAAACTTTGTAACCGCCATGGTGGTGAGGGTGGTGATCGGTGTAGGGAAAAGGGGTGTCGCGGTCGCATAGGACTCAAGGTGGTGATGTGGGGTCACGACGAGGCCCGCGAAAAAAATATTTGGAAAAGCGCTAACGCGATTGTTGACCCTGGAGGGATGGATTCGCGGCAGCGAGATTTGCTTTAAGAAACTTTTCATTCCAACTGAATCGCAGACGGGATTCCTTCAATCATTCATTCATCGGATCTGACTCTAATTGCGGAAATACGAGAGGAAAGCTTCACATAATGGACTGTATGACAACTTTTGGAACAGAAGAAGTTGTTGGTTGGGATGACCTGGGTGCTTGAAATAGACCCCATAACTTTAGCAAATTGCGTATTCATAGTTTGAGGACCACACTGCGGGCTAGGCAGAATTCCAGACTTGCATTATAATATGTGCTGAAGAAGGGTGTCTAACACAAAGCGATCATAATGGCACTTCGCCTACTGCAACCACAAATTACGCCATGATGAAAAGAATACATTGGTCAAACAAAAGGAAAGCGCTCGTCCGCAAAAGTTTGTTCACTCTCGTTCTTTTTCTAACACCCTCTGAATTCTGAATTAAACATTTAGGAACTTACGTGATGATTTCACACTGCGCTCCGGAAACAAACGCTGGGCAAACACATGTGCTGTTTGGCAGCAGTATACCCCCATTGCTGCAGTTGTACACTCCTGGCAGCTCCGATGCGACAGGAGTTGATGGAAGAGAGCCTTGAAAGCGCAATTTAGAAGGCTTTTAGAATTAACAATGCAGAGAAATCAATGCAAAGCAAAAAAAACGAGGTTGGACTAGCGCCGTATATTGATGAACCGCCCACTTTTCCTGTTGGCCTTCAATAGGTATCACGAAATTGTGACCATTTTCGGGGGTTAGAGGCCGACCACCTGCATTCGCTTCCAAATTCCCATTAGAATATTCTGCATTGGCTCACAGAATCCTCAATCTCCTCTTAGTCCAATGTTCATAGCTGGGACAGTTTCTCGTTTCACATGGAGTGGGTCCGGCGAGAAGCAGCTATCATCACGTTCTTTGCCATCCATTCTCTCTGATGCCACCTTTGTCAAGCTCTCACAAGGACCAATCCTTTTTCAGCTCGAATAAGATCATTTCGAAAAATGATGTTCACGTTCGCTGTCCATTTCGTAGTGACTCGCGCATTGGTCCAAACCTGCCGGTGACCGAAAAACCCTGACAAAGCCATTAAGTACTATCCGTTCTCCCAGCTGCGTTCTAATCAAGACATTCCAGCTGCAGAGTGGCCACAGAAATTCACTGGTACAATGGACGAGATAAGACGGTACGTTGATGTGATGTCGTTGGGGCTAAACCACTTTCTGAAGGCTTTCGATTATTGTGTGCATAAAATAGATCGGTAGAGCTAAGCGTTAAAACGCTATCAAATCTCGTATGAAGTGCAATTTTGTTACAAAGAGAAAAATGTACTGCCGAATAAGTGAAAAGATTCTGAAACAACCACAAAACAAGAGCGACTCCCCCCCCCCCAATGGTCAGCTAGAAAACGCAAAGAAAGAAAGGAAGAAAGAACTTAAGCAAGAATTAAGAAGAAGGAAACCAAGCACATTCTACTTCCGCCTACTCGACTCCACGCTGAAGGCCTGCTCCAATATTGTTCAGTTCCTTTTCTCCCAAAGAAAGGACTTGGCATTTACCGTTCACTCGCCCTGCGCCCCTTTTTCCTTCTCAATGAGGAGTGCTTTCTAGGACCATGTGGCAGAATGGTGTTGCGTTCGTTTCTCATTTGCAGGGTCCGAAGGGCTTCCTTTCGTACTGACGAAGGTGGTAGCCATCAAACTAAATCACTACGACGTCCAACCCCACAAAACAGAAGTGGTCAGGTCCTTGTGGAAAATGGACTGGCTGGTAAACTCGCTCCTCCAGCTCCCTCCTTCTGAAACATTAGAATCCAGAAGCCGCAGAACGTTTGCGTCGCTTCTTCAAATTCCATATTTTAGATAGGAATGAAAAAATCCCATCACTAGAATCTCTTATTTGAAACTTACTTGGAATTTGGTCGTGTTCGAGAACTAGAATTTTCGAACACGACCAAGTTCCAAGTAAGTTTCAAATAATTGTAGAAGGCGTACAACTCAAAAAAAAATAATCGCCCAGATGATTAAAAACAAGCATATTCCGTGCATTGTTACTAGCCTTTTGGAGTTGCTGAAGCCTCAACAGGGCCCGAGCGAGGATCAGTCAACGTATACCTGCCTGCCAACAACTTCCTCGACTTTTCTTCAAACTTGACGAGTTTCTCCGCCCATATTCCTCGCTCTTTCAATGCGAATTATATCATTACCTTTTCTGGGGTGTCTCGTGACGCTCGGGATATGTAACTGAAGTTGTCCCTCTGTTCGAGGCGCCATGCCATCAAGAGAACTCTTGCCACTTGAGGTGCGATGCTTAGGGTGGCTCTATTGCTAAAAGACGAAGTCAGTTAGGTGTAAGTGCCATACGATTGAATAAGCAACACTTTTTGGAGTCACTTTATGTGTCAGCTTCCACTGTCCTCGAATTTTATGGTGTAGTTCCACCTATTACGGACTAACGTAACCGAGCCTCTGCCTCGCTTCACGGATAGCACATGTTACGTTGGATCAGATTCTCTTCCAGCGGAACGCCACACATGCGCTGCAATGTGGTCTCCAAACTTCCCAAATTTCACCTTCGTCGCCCCAGATGACGTTGGAGCCGTGTGGGGATCTCCACCTGTGGGTACGGGAGTGCGCAGACTCATTACTTTCCCTATATTCACCGTCAGACAACTTCATAGGATTTGAGAAGTGGTGAAGGCCGACTTATAGAGTTGAGTTCTGGAAGTTTTGCGCCTTCAACGGTATGGCACCTGCACGAAATCGACTTCGCCTTCTAGCAATAGTAGAGCGATCCAAAGCATCGCACCTCAACTGTGCAAGAGCGTTCTTGATAGAATGGCGCGCCTTCAAACGGAGGGACAACTTCGGTTACACCGAGAGTCATCGAGACACTATAGAAAAGAGTAGAGAAGGTTTTGGCAAAAAGGAGCTAGGAATATGGGCGAGAAACTCGTCAAATTTGAAGAAAAGTTGAGGAAGTTGTCCCTAGTAGACAGTGCATTCATTGACTGATTCCACACTTAGGCCCTGTTGAGGTTTCAGCAACTCCAAAAGGCTATTAACAAAGTACTGAATATGCTTGATGTTTTTATCATCTGGTCGATTGTTTTGTTGAATTATAAGCTTTCTACAATAATTTGAATTACTTGGAATTTGGTCATACTCGAGAATTTCTAGTGAAATGATTTTTTTCATTCCTAACTCTTCCTCCCATCCAACACTAATATGCTAGATAGTGAAAAATGCTTGCTCTCCTGAACATATTAAAATTTGAATTGATTTGATTCAGCGGAAAAAAAGTTCCAGTCGAAAGTGCACCTGACCGAAACCTTTTCCGTACTGTACGGTACTCGCCGTAAAAAAAAACGTAAAAAAAAAGTTTTTTTACGTTTTTTACGGCGAGCACCGTATGTCCTTATGTCCATTGTGTCATGCTTCAGAAAAAGTTGAAAACTAACCGATTTTAGAGAGATGGTACAACTTTACGTCATCACTCTCGGCGACTAGAGTAATGACTTGTTCACGACTGAGTGACGACGACGTTGTGAGGTAACCATGAAACACCGCCGTGGGTATGCCCACTTCGACACCGTGGACCCTGGTAGCATCGACTCAAAAAAGGCACTTTTTGCAGTCTCAAAGCTCAAAACTCACTCGAAATTGTCCACGTAGAAGTCGAACGGCTCAGTGTGCAAGAGAGCGAACAACTAAAAACCAAAATGCTATAATGTTCACTTACGAGCTGTTCGTCTTGTAGCTCGTGATACGAACGTTTTCACAATGACGCTGAGATTGCACAGAGCACATTTCCTTGGTCGTGCTTCTCAACATCATTCTGACAACAACCACTTGCTACCTCGGGAATTATTGCGTGTTTGAAGAGAGGAGCTGCAT